CCAGAGAAATAAACTATTTATACAATTTTCTTTACAAAAATGTATTTTACTGTCCCTTACTTTCCAAGAAATGGTATCCAGCCTAAATAAAAAGAACAAAGCATTACCCAAAAGAAGTAGGAAAGCTAGAGAAAAAAAAACTTCTCTCTCGCTCTCGCTGTATCCCTGCCTTCCCTCAGCAGCTGTTTCTTTAAGAGCCCTGGCTAATGGAGAAGGCTGGAGGAGAAGAGACATTCACACAGAGAGAGGCGCACGAGGGAAAAGCAAGCTTTTTCTCTCTGTGTGTACGTGTCCCTGCCTTTGCCTCAGCAGTTGTCCCTTTAAGAGCCCTAAATGAAGTATAAAAGGCTGTGTCCCTCTCAGCACAACAAAGCAGCACTGGAAATAAACTTGCACCAAAGAACCATGGGAAATCTGGCAATAGGTACAAAAACAGGGAGAATCCCGCAAATAGCTTTCACACTATAGCAAATGAAAAAAAAAGTGGTATCATGAATGAAATACAAATGAATTCATGATATTTTCTCAAAAATGCCAATTTGCTGGTTCATGTCACTTTCTTGTCGGATTCTATGTGGTTTGTGTGCACATTGTGTGAAAACCATTTGCACAATTGTGCCTAATATGCTGGATAATTGTGGGTTATTACCCATTTAAACTTCCAACTTTCCCCATGTGATAAACTTCTTAGCTATTTGGACATCCTAGTAGGACCTGGTAAGCCATGAGTCAAGTGGCTAAGTACTAAATAACTTAGGATAATAGAAGTTAAAAATCCATCACCAATTTCCAATAAAATTAAATGGTGTCAGCAGTTCCTGAACACTTTAGGTTTTGAATGACACCTTGTTGGCAATGCCTGAATCTGTGGTTTTTGAACCTTTTGATGAAATGCTACAGAAAATATTGTTGCTTATGTAGGTGAACTATAGTTGGCAAGGAATTGAATAAGATGTTCTCAGTGTACTGTACAACAGTTCCTGTGTTCTGTGTATAATAACCACATGCAGGGCTAAGCTATGTGTCTAGAATATTCAGTAGAAACCCTGAAATATAGTTAGCATGAATCAAGTAGTTAAAAGCCAGACTAATGAGCTCTACTTTATAAATGACCAACAATTTTACATATGCTATTGTTTGTTTTGCACTATTTTCAACCACACAGGGAAATACCATAACTCAGTGATAGACCACATGCTTTGCACACTAAATCTTTCAAGTTTAACTGCTAGCATTATTATAAGGCAAAGAAAGATTTCTAAGTGAGGCCCTTGCAGCCCAGGACGTAAAGCCCAAAACAACTGGCAGGGGCAAAGGTTAAGAACTATGGTTACAAACACCACTAAGCTAGATGAATCAATGGCCTGATGTGACATTAAGTCACCTTCCAATGTTTCGTAAGCCCTTTATTTTCATCATATTCAGATCATTACATTCAAATCTGACCAGTCTCACTGCTGCCCATGTTGAAGAGTATAAACATGGTGTCTGTAAAGGATTTTGCCATAGCACGACTAGATGTTAAAAGCTGTTCTGCAAATGTCAATGGTAGAAAATTTGCACGATCACTACAATTTCCAAGCAACTGGTAAATCATTTGCAATGTTACTATACATTTTACATAATCCCCTGCACAGGTGCCATGGATAGTACAATGTTACTACTCCACCCAGAAATTAACAGCCCCAAATTACCAGAGATTGGCTTATCCACGCTCCTTAATTGAAAAGGATGTCTGGTATATTTATGTGGAAGAGTCTTATCCCACTCCTTCTGTGTTGCTGGAAAGACAATATCATTGCCCTTCCTAAGTCAATGTGATAAAAGCAAAGCTTTAATGGCCACTACATGGAACAAGGAAAGACAACTTGTAGCCCACCACATGTTGTTATACTGCAAATCTTATCAGCCCTACACAGCTTAAGCAGTGATGTAGGCTAATTATCACTGGCATAGAGCTTCAACTTGGACCTAGCTGAAAATCCTTCCTACATCTCTTCATTTTTGTGGCAATTACATTAGACACCCAGTAAGGGGATTCAGTGACTATGGGGATGCAGTAGTTTAGTGGTTAAGATGCTAATTGTGACCACTGGAAGATCGGAAGATTGGCAATTCGAGGCCCAAGAGCTGCAGGATGGGGTGAGCTCCTGTCACTAGTCCCAACTTCTGCCAATCTAGCAGTTTGACAGCATGCAAATGCAAATAGATAAATAGATACCACTTCAGTGGGAAGGTAACAGCATTCAGTGCTGTCATGCTGGCCATATGACCACCGAAGTCATCTTCAGACAATGCTCGCTCTTCAGCTTAGTAAACAAGATGTGTACTGCCCCATACAGTCGGTAAGGACTAGACAATCATGTCTAGGGACTACCTTTACCTTTACCTATACCTTCCAGTAGACACCTAGCAAGTACTATCCACACTTAAGAGGGGGCAAATACATAAAGAAGTCTACACAAATGAGCACCTTTTTGTTTAAAAAATATCCTTCCTGGAGGGAAGTAACTAGATCCTGAGACTTCAAAACCAACAAAAAATCAGATCACTCTGGCATATGACAGCTTAATGCACTGAAACAATAAAAAGCTAAGTGCAAGTGAACACGGGCAATTAAAAAGATTGTATTGTTGATGAAGGAAACATCACAGCAAAGGAAGACTAAGGTATACTGCCATTTACAGTTCGGGCTGAGGTAAATTATTGGAGCATTAAAATCATTACACTCTCTTTAATCATGATTTTAAGAGACACTTTCTTATCCACAGTGTACATACATGAAGCACACTGGTGCCAAGAATGTTCTATGAAATAGAATCTGTTTCTTGCTTCTCTCAACTCCTGGTTTTCTGGCCTGCTTTGGTACTAGTAGCAAAGTTTTTTAAAAAAATTAAAATTTTAAAAATCTAGTGGACCCACAAAACAGTGCATATGATCACAATCTGCAAAAAGTAATCAGGCAAAACCTGTCATATAATACAGATCACAACTTATTGAATGAACTTGAATCTCTGTGTTGAAAGAAATACTATGGTTTTTATAAATATCATTAAGTAGCAATGGTCATGAAAATTAGACATCAGTAAAGCTGCACAGCAGCAGAAAAGAAAAATACTGCATAACGCAGGAAGCCATAAGATAACTTCTACATATAAAGGTTTGTCAACATGCCCCAAAATTGTTTTAGACAGGCATAATATTCAGTATAATATAGCAAAAATTATCAGACTTGTATTACTGTGTCATAAAGGTTAGCATATCAGGCATACTCTCCCAAACTCTAAAAACAGTATTTAATAGGTATAGCCATAACTGCAAAGGGGAGAGCTTTTTGCAAGCTGTTGTATCTTTCCCCCCTTTCATTTAATTTTTAGCAAAGACATATTTATATTCCATTCAATGGCACTCAATGACAAAGCTCATCAATGATTAGAAATAGAAGATGGTTGCAACCAAATTTCTCTTTTCGTTAGAACATGGGCCAATTGACATTATATCTCACTTGGAAGAATCTCTCTCTCTCTCTCTCTCTCTTTTTCTCTCTCTCTCTCTTTTGCCCCCCCCCCTCAAAAAAGCCTTAATGTCACCTCAAGAAATTAGAAACATATTTCCCAAAGTTCTGTGGGAAGCAGGAGTATTTCTGGATAAGAAAAGCATCCCAAACCTTTACCTCGCACGTACCGGTGGGCCTTAATTCTTGACTGTACTACAAGAACAAAAAGCACACCTTATTATACAAAGGAAACACAATAGGGCTGCATCCCTACTGCAAAAACAATCTGGTTTGACCCCACTTTAAATGCTATGGAATTCTGGGAACTGTTTGCCGAGGCATTGACACCTCAACAAACTACAATTTCTAGAATTCCATAGCACTGAGCCATGGCAGTTAATGTGGAGTCAAACTGGATTATTTCTGCAATGCAGATGCAGCCTAGCAGGAAAGGCCAGAGCTAGCTGACAATTCATCTAAGGAACTATACAAACCAATCTAATATAGACAGCAGTGACGTAGCACTAGCTCTGCCTCCCTATTTGAACTAGCCTTTACTAACACACTTTAAAACTAGAATCCCTACATCCCTCAATAATCACCTAACAAGGAAGGCCCAGCATATTCTCTGTCTGCCTTTTCCCTACCTAAAGATAAGTTAACTTCACCACTGGGAGAGTGTAGGAAAAGATGGTAATCACCAACACCAGGCCAAGCCCAGCCCAATCTCCCACCCAGGTAGAATTACCAACCTTTCAACCAAAAAAATTAACCGTTTGACCATCGCTCTTAGTTCCATATCTCAAAAAGCGTTGTTGGCTGATTTCTGTAAGATCTGACTTAAAGGCACAAAAAGAGCCCAGACTGTGTGTGCGTGCATGTGTGGCCTACTGCCAACTTCCCCCAACTACACAGGCCTACACTTTCTCAAGATACCCTGCAGGACCACCTCTGGGACAACCCTGAGGCAAAAATTGCTTCCCCACTGGCTTGTTGTTGTTGAGCACCTTCAAGTCATTTCCAATTTACAGCGACCCTATCATGGAGTTTTCTTGGTAAGATTTGTTCGGAGGAGGTTTGTCACTGCCATCCTTTGAGGCTGAGAGCATGTGACTTGCCCAAGGTCACCCACTGGCTTTCTCCCTATAATAAATTCCCACACATAAATAGGAATCTTTAACCCTGAGCCAGTTTTCCAGCTACTCAATGAGACAAGACAGATAAAGACAAATACATATGGCATTTTACATAGAAGTACACAAAAAATAAATATACACATTACCAAAATACCTTAAATTGTAAGCCTTTTGGGACCTAATATGTAGCCTGACACCAACATGGATAGCATTCTATATGTAACTATATGTATGCATATGTATCCCCAAACACACATAGGCAAAAGAGCAAGACCCACATGCCTAAATAGCAATGTCTACCAGTCTCCCAAAATTCATTTTAGTTATTATTGCAAATTAACTGTGTGTACATGTAGAGAGCCATGAAAGCCAGAGTGGTGTAGTGGTTTGAATGTTGGACTATGAGTCTGGAGATCAAGGTTTGATTCCCAGCTTGGCCATGAAACCCACTGGGTGACCTTGGGCAAGTTACATTCCCTCAGCCTCAGTGGATGACAATGGCAAACGCTCTGAAGAAACTTGCCAAGAAAACCTCATGAACAAGCCTTAGAGTTTGTTGTTATTGTGTGCCTCAAGTCATTCCTGATTTATGTTGACCCCTATCATGGGGTTTTCTTGGCAATTCTTCAGAGGGGATTCTGCCATTGTGTGACTTGCCCAAGGTCAACCAATGGGTTTCATGGCTGAACTGGAAATCGAACCCCAATCTCCAGAGTCATAACCCAACATGCAAACCACTCCACACTTGCTCACCTTAGGGTTGCCATAAGTAAAAAAATGACTTGGAGAGACACAGCAACAAATAGAGCCAGTGGTTTGAGTGATGGACAAATTCTGGCTCAGCCATGGAAACCAACTGGGTGACCTTGGGTGAGTCATATTCTCTCAGCCTCATACAGTGGCAACCCACTCTGAAGAAACTTGTCAAGAAAACCTCCTGACAGGTTCACCTTAGGGTTGCCAAAAGTTGGAAACAACTTGAAGGCACACAACAAAAATATATACCTGTGTGGTGTAGTGGTTTGAGAATTGGACTAGGACGTAGGAAGACAAGGGTTCGAATCCCAGTTCAGCCATCGAAACCCACTGGGTGACCTTGGGCGAGTCACACTCTCTCACACTCATATTCCTATGAGGCCATGCCAAAAACCTCTCCGAGGAAACCTTGCCAAGAAAACCTCCTAACAGCTTCACGCTAAGGCCTCCACAAGTCGGAAACGACCTGAAGACACCCAACGACGACAAAAATACATACATGTGTGTATAAACTGTATGCGACATACCACCATCTATGATGCATATCTATGCATATTATATAATACATATAAAACGTGAAAACGCTTCTTTCACACACATACGGCTTCCAAATATTTTAACTGCCCCACCCAGACTTTTAAATAAATAAATATCCCACCCATTCTAAAACCTCGTCTCCAAACCCAGGATTCCTGACAGGAATTAAAACCCCGCTATCCTCCTCACCACCGCCACCACCGCCACCACCGTCCAGACTGGCCCTTCTCCCCCGTCCCCTCTTCGCCTCGGCCTCAGCCGGGCCTCCTTCGGCCCAGGCCGCCCTCCGCCTCACCGTGAAGGGGGTCTCCTCGATGCTGCCCACCGAGTAGCAGTTGTCGCCTGGGTTGACGGCCCCGGTGAGCACCTGGTGCAGATGCATGGCCGCCTCCCGCCCGGCAGACAGACAAGCAGGCAGGCAGGCAGGGCTGTCTCTCTGCCCGCTTTTCCGCCTGCGGGGGAGGGAGGGGGAGGAGGAGGAGGAGGAAGGCGGGCTGCGAAGCAACGGGACCCGGATGGCTTCCCCTCACTCCCTCCTTTCCCCCGCGCCCTGAAGAAATGGGGAAGCCTCTTCGATGCGGCTCTTTCCTCGCTCCCGGCGAGCGCGCTCTCGCCACCGCAATTGGAAGAAGGCCGGACACGCGCGGCGGGGAAGCGAGAGTGGGCATGCGCCAGGGAGGGGAGGGTTGAGAGAGAAAGAGGAGATCTTCGGATGCGCATGCTTGAAGGGCTGCTCGCGGGGCCGGGGGTGTCGCGCGCGGCGAAGGTGAAGATCATTGGGAGCGCGAAAGGGGGAGGGGTAAAGAAGGAAAATAACGGAAGCTCTTCCTGAGGTACCTTTCGAACTGAGCCAGTGGCGTCATTAGGGATCGTGTCAGCCCCCCTCCTCCATTACCACACCAGACAGAAGTCTCAGGGCCTTTAAACACCGCCCAAAATAGTGCAAATTGAGTCCACTTTAACTGCCCTGACTCAGTGCTAGGGAATCATGCGAACTGCAGTTTATTGTGGCACCAGAGCTCTCTGACAGAGAAGGCTCAATATCTCAGAAAAAAATACAATTCCCATGATTCCCTAGCACTGAGCCAGGGCAGTTAAAGTGGACTCAATGTGCACTATTTCTAGCAGTCTGCAAAGGCTTTTAGGGCAGAAATAGTGCAAATTGAGTCCACTTTAAGGGTTAGGGTTAGTACTAGGGAATCATGGGAATTGTTTTTGTTTTTTTCTGAGACGTTGAGCCTTCTCTGTCAGAGAGCTCTGGTGCCACAATAAAATACAGTTCCCATGATTCCCTAGCACTAATTTCAATTTGCACTATTTCTAGCAGTCTGCAAAGGCCCTTAGTCATGTTTTTTTAATACGAATGGTACTCATTAGTAACATTCCCTCCCTTACGTAGTGCATTATTTTGCAGCATGTCCAGTTGCTCATTTCATCCAAATTATAGAGACCTGATTTCAAAATGGGTGTCGTTAGAGATACATAGTGAGACGTCACCAGAAATGAACTTCATTTTGTCAAATTTTACATCAAAACACTTTGAAGATGTTGCAAATCCTTTCCTACAGACATCCCTGCAGTCCTGGAGGAAATGGAAACACATGCTAGCCCCTCAGATATCATTCATTAGACCCTTCTTTCTGCATCCACTCTTTAAATCAGGGATTGGCAACTTTTTTTTTGTCGACGGGCCAGGAGTGGGGGGAATGGCACTGAGGGACGGCGTGTGCATGCTGGCATGCCCGTGCGCTTCCCCCCGCATGCAGGCATACTGCCAGGCCGCGCCGGGCCTCCGAGAGGCCCAGCACCGCCACGGAGGCCCCCCAGGAGGATCGCAGCTTAAAACATTTAGCTCTAGCACCCAGTCCTAATTGGCTACATGTCTTTTAAGTTTTCATGTTTTCGAAAACATGAAATTGCAAAATATAGCGGAAACCCCTCATCCATTAACTCCTTATCTATGGAGATTATCATACAGGGTAAAGAGGGATCGTCCTTATCACATCTGTGCTTGTCCAGTCCTTCTGTCAGTGGCACCATCATTGTATTAACGCAAATTTACGTTAATACAAACTGACAAGGCCATGCCACTTCAGGGATGGGAGAAGAATGGGATAAGGGCAACATCATCTGAAAATCTTACCACAATCGCATGATAAGAACAACTGAAGGATGGAATAAAAACAACATTGTGTGATAATCTCTGTGATTGTATTAAAAGACTGAAGACTCTTTGTTTCTTCTGATTCCTTGATGAAGCAAGAGAGTCAGTGAAGTGAACTGGAAAAGACTTTTGAATGGCAGATACTAAGGAGTTTATCATATATCATTTAGCATGACTTACTGCAGTCGCATTAAATTCTGAAGCCAGATCTTATCACACACACCGGGAGCCAGGCAAATTTAGGATACCGTATGTGGCTGATGGAGAAACTGTCTGCTGCAATGAGGTTTTGCATTGGCCACAAAAGGACTGACACATTTCAAGAAGACTGGATGATGTTTATGTTAATCATCACTCCCACCGGATCCAACCTCCTGCTTCATAGATGGATCTTTAGGCAGACACTCTACACCAGGGTTAGGCAACCTTTTTGAGCCGGGGGCCGGGTTGCTGTACCTCAGACAATTGGGAAGCACCAAAAATAAATATTTTTAAAAAAAAAAATTAAAATATATATGCATGCACACTCTCAGCCCCAGAAAAGCCATGGGAAAACCTCTGTGGAGATTTTGCCAAGAAAACCCCAAGAACAAGTAATAACAACAATAATCGATATCATTATGGTGGGCGGTGGCGGCGGCAGCAGCAGGACCGGCCTGGGGGGCGCATCCGGCCCTGGGCCTTAGGTTGCCTACCCCTGCTCTACAGCTTGACAAGCCACACTCTCTGGCTTGCTGAGAACTAATTTTTTGATTCAGCTGCAGAAGAACTACTCATCAGTTACATACCTTGGCACTTGTAGTTTGTTGTTGTTATTGTTGTCATTGTACTACAGACTTTATGTGTTTTATTGTAAAAACTCAATAAAAATTTAATTAGAAAAAAAGACAAAACAAAGAGCTTGTTTATAAAAGGGATTTAAGATATTACAGGACCTTAAGAGGCAAAGAGCAGTGACCTCCATGGTTTAACAACCATAGCAAATAATATAGCCATCAGGATGTACATCAGATAAGGCTTAGTCAACAAGCAAGGTGCCTGACTGGAAAATGGCTTTCCAAAGCATTGTGTGCTTTAAAAAAACAGAATAAACAAATACAAAAAACTTGGGATTTGTGCTCTTGGTTGCAGTAGGAAATGCATAATCGGAGTTCCAAAATACTGTTCTCTTAACTGTGATATTACCAAAGTTCCTAAGCTCCAGGGCTGTCTTTCCAGCATAGTGCCATCAAAGAAACCTGGATGTGCTTTCCTGCAAAATAATTGATTTCTTCATTCTGTTTTAAGAGCAATTGCCTATTTCTGAAAGTCAGATGGATATGTTCTTTACTATTCTGAACTGACAACTAGAATGACTGGGTTATCTGTGTACCTAGCACTGTGCTCTATATTGGAAAGACATTTTATACTCAGAATATTAAAAAAATCCTACTGACATTCAGAAATAGGTTGGGAAGAGAACACTGAGATGCTCTTCTGCTCAGATCATAAACCATCCATGGTACCTAACCTATGATTTGGCATGGGTTAGACTGCTTGGCAGAAACAAGCTAACCAGCTTAAACAGTGACATGGAAGCTCTGGAAAATGGGCCATTTCTTCTCCATACATATGTAAACCCACTTACCTGCACATCTAGGACATGGAAGTTAATTTTTAAAAAATTAAAATAAACAGTGACTGCTTATTTCTCTACAGTCTGGAAATGGATAGCAGCCTTTCCTACCTTGCAGGATTTGTAGAACTAACACCAGTTTGTCATCAACCTTCCACAGAACAACTGCAAAATTTTAAACCACCCATTGCTACGTAAATCCTGTTACAATGATTGGTTTTTACATCAAGACCCTTTCTGGGTCCCTGTCATAGCCTTATGCTGAAAGGAGCCTTCATCGCCATGAGTTCAAAGCATGAGCTTCATGGAGGCACTCCAAACAGAGTTATAATAATAATAATAATAAAATTTTATTTCTACCCCGCCCA